AGAGAGAGTAACCAGATGAATGACAAGACGCGTGCAGGCTTGTCTTCAAATGCAAGCTGGTCATTTCGAGCATCTTTTGTAAAAGTAATTAAAACAGAGAATTCATTATATCGCATGAACGAAGACAGATAGGACATATATTTATATGACTTTTTTTCATTATTTTGGCGTGCAAGTGGGTGCCACAAATTAATAGTAAATAATTTCTTCTCAATTGATACAATTTTCAAGTAAACGTCGATGTTAAATTAACTTACGTTAATGAGGTCCAATTTCTCGTCGTCCAACCTGCAACAGACAGACAAGAATACTTTTATTTCTCAAATAAACGGGAGAGACAGATTTTATACATTATGTGGACACATATAAAGAGCGTAAGTTGTCTTACGTTGGAGTCGGAGTTTGAGAAAAACTGAAGGGAAATCAGTTGATTCGAGTACGCATATACGTGAATTTATTTATTTTTTTTCTTTTTTTTTCGAACTGGACCCGCACGGCGCGCTGGCGAAACAAGCACGGCGTTAAAATCCCTCTGGCACGGAGTACAAAGAGCTTTTAGTTTTTGAACGAGGGAAAAGCATGCATAGCGGTGAAATGCGTTTACATCGAACGTTTAGTCAAGAATGTTTGCAACTAGGTCATAAAACGCGGCTGCGTGTGTACTCTGTTCTACAGCACGCTATTGTTTATCGCTTTTTCGTCGCGTGGACGATCAGGGTAACTGTAAAACACCATGTCCCAAGGTATTCGCACATCATCGTATTACACAATGATTAATTAGCTCCGAAACATGCGATGACAAAAAGTTGATTACAGGTTTTGTACTCGGAATTAACCTTTTGCAAATCGGATGCATCTTACTGTATAACAGACTCATGTTTTCACGGTTTTTGATCAAATTCACTGTTTACAGATCAAGTTCAACTCTGTCTTCAAAGTGAAGTAATATCGTTTCGTTGCTTTTGCCATTTTTTTTGGAATTACTCGCGCGGCCATGGCTGGTAATGCGAGCCTGTATAAAATTCAGAAACCTTGTTGATCAGACAAGGTACACTTTATCATTTCTATACTCTGAACCACTGAAGAAGTTTTTTCAATAATTAAATTCCGTGCAAATATTTCGACCGATCCTTCGAACCACGAACATTTATTGGACGTTTGTTGATCATTCAGTTACAACTGTCATTCTCACAGATTGTCGAAATTACGAAGGCGAATCTACGTGTCTGTCTACAAATACTTTTATACACGAATATTATAAACTTGTTGGACAAGTATTTTACGTCAATTTGTGATGTCACTTCATTTCTCGCATACGTGCGACAAATTGTTTTTATTCACTTCGAAATAATCACCTTACATCGGATTTTATTTTCACTACGATGCAGTGAAACTCGATTGAACAGAAAACTTGATTGAATTTGATTTTTGCAAGGTGAGCACGATTTGCAGAATGGTTAATCTCTGCAAAACTTTCCAAAGTTTGTAAAACGATTATTCAGTCGTTTCCAAAAGTAGCTTCTCTTTCCATTCATTCGAATCAACTCTGTCTACCTTCCGATTTATTTCCCGAATTTTTCCCCTCTTTTCATCATCCATGGCCTGTTTCCTCCTTTCCTCGGATATTCTTTGTATACTTCGCAGCGAATCCCTTGATTCCCTTTCTGCTGTCTCGCGCGTCTCTCCGAATAACTCTTTCGGGCTGGCTGGACTTTTTGTCTCGCGCGGACAAACGCCAGCAAACACGAGCAAACACGCTCGGCGCCATTTTCATTTCGCTACTTGCAGTTTCGCTTGACGGTGATTAAGATGCTTAATCTGGCCGCACTCCGCCGCTTCTTGCCACAGTTAACCACCTATCGACGTGCTCGAGGTGGTAGCTTTGAAAGTCGAAAGGCGCCCCAGTTCGAAAAGCAGTCTCTCGCCTTCAACGTCGTTTGCTTGCCAAATTTGCTTTTTATTGATCACACGGGATCACACCCACTTGTGCCCCGAACGAAGTTTGTCTCCCGATGCAAGGGAAAAACATTGCTTTGATCACGAAATAAATACATTGATATGCCGTGATATTTTGACGAAACTGACTGAAGTTTTCACATTTTTCTTGCGCGACTGCGATTTTCAAGGGAATGTAAATAAGATAACGTAATACGCGACACGTCGTTTGTTTGCGTTTCGTCAGGTTTTGTCACAAATAGCGAATAGGGAATTTTTATTAAAACGCTCCGAATCTTTACTAAATCTCTTTCCCTACTGGAAAATATAAATCCCAATTGTCGTAACGCAGGTAAGAATTGAAATGAAATTACATGAAATTTCTTCGTTACAACTGGAATTAAAAATTCGTCCCTGAGGAGGTTCAAGAGCATCTCGTGACTATACTGTACAGAAATATTCCCACTCGACGTCGTTTGTTACTCTCTCGTGAAGTTTAAGGGAGTTAAACTTAACGTCCGTTGATTTTTGAACGACGAAACTTTTCTCTGGCTCAAACCAAACCAAACCAAACCAAACCATACTGTTTGAGCGAGATTCGAAATATAGTAGCGTATCGTCACGCGAAAAACGAACTGGGATTTTTAACGAGAAAAGACTCTCAGACTTTATCAGCGTGATTTTATAGAAAACGGTGGGAGAATTGACGAGAAATGAAGAAAAAGCGTAACGCGGTCGCTTGACGTTGGGCGAAGATACCGGCGGCAATAATTGGTCCAGCTTCATCCTCTCCTCCCCCTGAGATAGGCAATTTTCCCTGTCACTCGTTTGTTATCCGTCCATAGGAAACGGAGTTTACGCTGCACGCCGGGGAAATCCGATTAATGTCATTTGAGAGAGAGAGAGAGAGAGAGAGAGAGAGAGAAAATAAACTTTCCGATCGGGAACGTCGAATCTACGACTCCTTGGTTGAAACTCCGATCATAAGACTCTGTTCGTTTACTTATCCGCGGTTTTATACTCGAGACGTGTGTTTATTGCAAAAAAAAAAAAAAAAGAAATTATATTCGCTTGATTTCTCCTCTCAGTTTCTTAATATGTTTCACACTATTCCTAGAAATCTCGGGGCGAGCACTATACTCGTATAATAAAAATAGCACGATAAATACAATGTTATAAATGTACAATAATTGTAAATCATTATAAATATGTATGTACAATGAATACAGTGTCTGCTGACGTACGATATGAGTTGTTGCATTTGCAATGGATATAATTAAAATTGTATCTATATATAAATAATTTAAACAATGAAATATATATTAACTTTAAAATATGTACTATGAGATATAAATACTTTTGAATACTTTAAAATATGTACTTTGAAATATAAGTACAATAAAGACACTGTCAATATGTTAATATACTGTATTGTTGTATATATGTATTCTATTATCGCCATATTGCGTTATACTGTATCATAAAACATACGTGCATGATGATCCACGATAAAAATTGTTGCATTTATAATAAACATACTATAAATGCTTTAAACAATAAACACTCTTTTAATACATTAATATACTGTATTATATACTGTATTATATATTGTATTTATCGTCATATACTGTATGCTTTAAACAATTCAACACTCTGTTAATACATTAATATACTGTAATAATATACTGTTAATATAATATACTGTAAATGCTTTAAACAATGTACACTTTGTTAATAGATTAATATACTGTATTATATATTGTATTACCGTCATATTATTATATTATTGTATTATCGTCATATACTGTATGCTTTAAACAATAAACACTCTGTTAATACATTAATATACTGTAATAATATAATATACTGTAAATGCTTTAAACAATAAACACTCTATTAATACATAAATATACAATATTATATATTGTATTATCGTCATATACTGTATTATATATTGTACCATCGTCATATACTGTCTTGTATATTGTACCATCGTCATATACTGTCTTATATATTGTACCATCGTCATATACTGTCTTGTATATTGTACCATCGTCATATACTGTCTTGTATATTGTACCATCGTCATATACTGTCTTATATATTGTACCATCGTCACATACTGTATTATATATTGTACCATCGTCACATACTGTATTATATATTGTACTATCGTCATATACTGTATTATATATTGTCGTCATATTATTATATTATTGTATTATCGTCATATACTGTATCAGAAAACATGCGTACACGATGATGATCCACAATGATCGAACGTTAGAAACAAAAGTATCGTAAGACTTTCGATCGATCGAGCAAGTATATATACACGTAGAGAAAGCCACATATATCGCAAGGAAAGTCATATCTCCTGTTAATTATGATTTGAAAAGAACTGCAGCCTCGAAGTGTGGGGGAGCAGGGGGAGGGTTTGGAGGTTGGTTCGACGCAAAGATTCATTTTTTTCTTCTTGAAAAGAAACGGCAAGAAAAATAACGAGCAGACCGTTAGCGTAAATTGATTGCGTGGGTTGCAATAGCTGTGATCGATGGCGAGTGAAACGTTTCCTTTGTGCAAGCGTAATAGCAGTATTTCTTCAAACGTCCTTTCCGCCGAGCTATCTGGAATCGAGTCAGCGAAATCACGAATCTTATTGGGGGCGGGCACCCGCGTCGAATTTATTGGAATTTCCAAATAATACTACCAATCAAATTCTCTCGTGCAAACGGAGAGAGAATGAGTAAAGCGATGAATTGCGAACGGGCGCAAATGCTCGATATACGAGTGAGCGATAAGGAGAAAGAGGCAGAAAGACAGAGTGAGAAGAGGAGAATACGGTGTTAGGTTAGGTTTGGGTAGGTAGAGAGCTTTTTCATGCAAATTTATTCATCAAAATATGAACTTTCATGGTCTGTAACTCTCTCTCTCTCTCTCTCTCTCTCTCTCTCTCTCTCTCTCTCTCTCTCTCTCTCTCAACGAGATTTGATGATTTGTTTTTATAGGTTCTTAAAATGCCCGTTTTTATACGAATCTTCAATGCTTCTCCTTTCGGATCACTTCCTTCGTTACAGGTTTTTGCATTTCAAATTAACCCCTTCGCGGATCAAACTCACCTTGTGCGTGACTCGAGAGTGAAGTAACATCGTTTTTCTCGTTTTTGGCGACTTTTGTTATTTTTTGGAATTACTCGGACGGTCGTGCGTGATTTCTGTTATTTTTTGGAATTACTCGCGCGGTCATTCGAGCTAGCGACCAATGTGAGGATAAAGTTTCTGTGCAAGAAATATTTTTGGCCTTTCAGTGGAACACTCGTTTTATATGCTTCGACAATCTTTCCAGGCATTCTA